CAATAAGTATTTCTTACATAAATCAATGGTATGTTTAATTCAGTGTTGACAGAGAATTTATGCTAATATTAACAGTTTATAAGAAATCCCTACCCCATGAACTTCCAGAGTAGCTCGTAATATGAGCTCCACACATATCTTTGAAAACAAAGAACACTGTGCGGGGGGCAGTTTTCTATCATTTGTAGATTAGAACAGTCTCTAGAAAGGTCTCTGCTGTGCTCTTAGGGAGTTATGATGGAACATGGCATGATCACACCCATTCCTTTGTGAAGCATATCCAAATGCTTTCTTTAGATGACTGTTCTCTTTGCTACTCATACATTGAATATGCTTGTGTGATATTAAAGTGAATTTTGTTGACAAGCTTTCCCTCCCAAAGCTGCTTATCAAAGTACATTATTTCTGATTGAACCGCTTATTTTTTCTTTCTGTCTGTCTGAATGGATTGCTTGCCAGTGGTGACTTACAGCTTGTTTCATCGATTTTCGGTAATGAGATGGAGCAGTGTGAGGTAAATGTCTGTGCACATGGGCAAGGATTCTAAATCACATTCTGCAAACCACGAGCTTGATGATGCAGTCAGTCCATCTCCTCAAAAATGTTTGTGGTGAAGCCTTCTTGAAAAAGCTTGGACTTAAAGCACGTCACTTAAATGACAGTTTTAGAAAATAGAGTTAGAATCATTAGTGAGAGCTCCATATTGGCATGGTCAGGCTAACCTCCTCCAGCTGTCGTAGATGATAATTCACCAGGCGGCTTGGGAGGGGCAGAGTCTCAGTAGGAGGGAAGTAGAGTAAGCATGATGTACTTTTAAATGCATCCATTTCTCTACAGAGTAGCACTTAAACACGTAACTGGTCATGGACTCCAAGTAACTGATGTTTTCTTCCTGTGGCTATAGAATTGCTACAGGATGCTCAGATGTCTCAGGTAAGGAAGGCCCTAAAAACTAACACAAAGGAAATCCTTGCAGAATTTACTCATCTGGTTTCATACTGAGTCACTGTCTTGTGGTGCTGAGTTATCTGTGGCCCTCGCTCTTGGTCCTGATGTCATGGAGAAGCACATTATGCACTATTAAAAATCAGTGTCTGAGGAATGAATGTACTACATTGCTGCTGGTTGATGGCTCCTGCACCCCTTTCTTGTGTTATTTAACTCCTTCAGTAAAATGCACTCCTCACTGTACACAGATGTTGCATGGATTTGTTTCTAACAAGAACTTCGTATGACTTTTATGAACTGAAAGCAAAGTAATTTTCATGCCCTAAAGTGCCTCATGATAGAGGACTATGGGTGAGATACAGGAAGGTCCTGAGTTTATACCATTTCTCCAAATTGTTATTTACCTTTCTGCACAGCAGAAATGTGTCTGTCTGTCTATGCCTACTTCTGTTTCTATCTCTCTGTCTCACACATACACACACTGTACCTTACATTTGTATATGTCACTTGTATGTCTTAAGTAGATAGCAGATGTAAATTGACACATAACTGTGTATAGTCTACCTATCACTCTTCTGTTCTTTGGATTACATATAAATTGATTAAATGTCACCTAATGCTCCATGTTCTCTAATTAGAAGATTCCAGGTAGATTTTTCATTACTTCCTTATCACTTCCCCTTTAATTAATGCTCTCATGTTCATATGGAGACTCCTCCAGGCCTTTCTTTATGACACCGATAAATCTCGCTGCCTCCTTCCCATCTGTTTGCTCTGCGGTTCTTCATTCCATGATCCATGTCACTCCAGTTCCATTGCTACCCCTCAGAGTTCTGTCTTCTTCTTGTTACTTCTGTCTACTCTGTCTAAAGTTAACTTGAAAATAAGCAGAATCTTCAAGGCAAACATTATGGTGCTCCTTATGCTAATCTTATGAAAGTGCAGCATAGTCAAAATGTGGTACATCAGAGGTACCAGTCCTGGAAATCTTACACTTCTACTGTGACCTTTAAAAACCAGGCAGCAATTCCATTTCTTACTTCATGTGCTGCTTTTCTTATTTTGATACATTTTAGTGTCTGCCCTGAGTTAGGCAGACATGAACAAATTAGCAACTAATTAATATAATGACATAACAATACACAGACTGCAGTTTTGGTGCAATTAAACTTAATTGGATGCATTGAAGATAATGAAATGAAATAAATGCTTTCTGGATAAACTATATACATGCTTGGAAATAAATGTAAGGATCTAATGAATTTGCTCTATAGGGCAGAGTTTTGCAATAATTTAGTGCATTCCAGAGAAGAAAATACTATTACATTTTTAACCAAAATCAATCATGTAAAAAATATAAAAATATGAATGGAATCTGGGTACATTTTTATATTCATGAAAATTAATACTAAATCTAAAATTACTCAGTAAATAGCTATGACTTCTGGAAAGGAACAGTTGAGGAGGTGGAGAAAAGATGCAGAAGGAATTGAAAAGAGGACATTCTAGAGGAATAAACACGAATGACTCCAAAATATCCTGGGAATTTCTTCTTCATTCTGATGAATTCCTATTTATATTTCTTGGAGAGATGTGATACATTTGACCACTTCATTTCTATGTGGGGTGTAAAATAATAAGGGCAACCAGCCTGCTAGGAACTCAAAGCCAGATGGTGTATCTGTGTGTCATGCTGGGTCGGTGGTTTGGAAATGCCGGTTCTGCAGAATGGCTGGAGCTGAATAATACTTCAAGGTAACTCTGTGTAGGATCCACTAGTGTATTTCCATAAACCTTTCCATTTTAAACAATAAGTTTAGTGAGTTTCAAGTTATAGTGGACAGCATCACACAGGTAGGCTATAAAAGAACAGACAAAATGTCTTTAATGGGGTTTGTTAACTGTCATCTCAAATCAAACTCTAATAAATGTGTCAGAACTATACTGTGGTTAAACATTCTTGGCAAACTACTTCTTAAATAAACAAATAATCAAAAGTCAGTCCGTTCTCCAGAGAAAGGTAAGTTGTTTAGCAATTTTTAGTATTTGAGCTAAAGTCAGACTCTTTTTCTCTACCACCCGAGCTACACCCCAGCCCTATTCATTTCCTTTAGTATCTGCATAAAAGTATGTTTTCCAATAGTCATTTCTTTATATAAAAATATTTATCTAGTAATTTAATCTCACGTTAAATCAGTTTCTTCTCCCTCTATTTTGAAAGTCCAGTATTTAAGGTACGAGCATCATTAAGATCATTATGCTTTCTTGATGGAAATATAAAATGTTCTTCTTTATTTATTTATTTGGTAATTTGGATTGAATATCACTAATACAGAATGCTTGGGACCCAGAGGTTTATAGATTTAGGATTTTTTTTCAGATTTTCTAATTTTTGCATATACATGAAGAGATACCCTATGTATGAGAACCAAATCTAACATGAAATACATCTATGAATTATATACTTTATACACATAGCCTGAAGGTTCTTGAAACACAGTTTATGTATTGCAGCTGAAGGGACTGGAGAGTGTTTTTTCCCCGGGGGTTGCTGAATAAACTCTGTGTTGTGTATTTGCATTTTTTACTTCAACACATCACATGAGGTTGAGTGTGCGATTTTCTACTTGTGTCATCCTGTTAGAGCTCAAAATGTTTTCCATTTTGGATTTTTGATTTTTGAGTTGGGGGTGCTTAACTTGTATAATTAAGAGGTACAAAAGTGTTCACATCACTATCTGAAAAAGTTGACCCATATAGTTAGAGCCAAAGTGCAAATGTGTGAATCAACTCATAGACTGAAGGCAAGTCTGGAACTATAGACTGTAAAACACAAGTTTTTAAGTAACAGTGATAGTGAGTTCAAGTGTCTTTGGAAATAGCTATAACAGGAACCATTTTTCTTGCCCCTACCCACCACTAAAACAATATTTTCCAGATATTTATGCTTCATTGGTACCAAGCTAGATTCTATTTCCTTTGCCCATGGACAAAAATTCTACAGAACTTTTACATATAATACCATTGCTAGGCCTCTAGAAGTCACCAAATCTGCTATGATTTGCCAGTCTTTAAAAGTAGGGCACTAAGTGAAGTTAGTCATGTCCAGAAAGCCAAAGACTGCATGTTTTCTCTCATACATGGAATATAGGCCCAATACAAATATAAGCAATATTATATATACATAGAAATATATACAGAACCTGTATCCAAAGTGGGACTGATGGAGGAGACCAAGGGAGGAAGAAAAGAAGGAAAGAAAGATAGCAAATGATGATGAAGTACACCACATCTATGTAGGAACAAGACATCTATATAGGATGATTATTCTCCAGTGTGGTCACTCCTATGTCTCACATGCCATTAGGGCTGACAGAAAGATTCAAACATCTGAAGTTCATTTAAATTACTTCTGACGATCAAAACCTGATGCGTGCCCACACTTGCCTTGTGTTCTCACTTGTATCAGTCTCAGTTTCTCCTGCTCCAGTGTCTCTGGCTGTAGAAGGAATTACAATCAATAATCCTTACTCTGATGAAGGTAGACTTAATAGTAGGATCTAAGGAACCCCAGAAAGCCTAGATTAACAACATGGACCGGGTGTCAGTGGCTCACACCTGTAATCCTAGCTACTCAGGAGACAGAGATCAGGAGGCCTGTGGTTTGAAGCCAGCCCAGGCAAATAGTTTGAGAGACCCTTTCTTGAAAAAAATCATCACAAAACAAAGGGCTGGTGGAGTGGCTCATGCAGTAAGTGCCTGCCTAGCAAGTGTGAGGCCCTGAGTTTAAACCCCAGTGCAGCAAAAAACAACAAAACAATATGAGTGTTTCAGGGATGGAACCAGGTCTCTTTTTTTTTTTTTTCTTGTGGTATTGAACCCAGGACCTCATGCATGTTAGGCAAGAAATCTTTCACTTGCGCTATGCCCCCAGCCTGTTGGTTTGTTTTGTTTTTGAGATACAGTCTCAATAACTTGGCCCAGGCTGGCCTCAAACTTGTGATCCTCCTGCCTCTACTTTGTTAGTAGCTGGATTATAGGTGTGCATCACCATGTTTGCCTTGGAATCAAATACTCAGGTACTTTTTAGAACCTTTTGTCCCTTTATTCTGTGCCTGAGTGAAGAACCAGCCACAAAGCTTTCACAGATTCTTTCTACTGCCAATGTGGAAACGTATTTTAAAAAGTACTTGTTATGTTTTTCTGAAGTGGTAATAAGTAGAATTGTATCTTTTGTTTGTTTGTTTGTGGTACTAGAGTTTGAACTCAGGACTTACACCTTGAGCCACTCTACCAGCCCTTTTTTGTGAAGGGTTTTTTCGAGATAGTCTAGCAAACTATTTGCCTGGGCTGTCTGCAAACCACGATCCTCCTGATCTCTGCCTCCTGAGTAGCTAGGACTAATGGTATGAGCCACTAGCGCCTGACAGAATCATATCTTTAATAAGTAAGTCATCAGTACATTATTTCTAGTAGAAGAAGCCAGAATATTTCCTCTGACTCTATCCTTGGTGCTAAATGGGTATGATTTTGACCCCAGGGTACATATATTCTTCTCTTTCTATAATTTGAATTTTTCTTTGCATAATTATATACAGCATGCTGCCTCCTGCCTCTTCTCACTGCTCTGGGTCATTAATACTTTTACACTCTAGGAATTTTACAAATTTTTGGTGCTTGGTGTTCCAAGATTCTCTCCCAGTAATGCTCCAAGTAGAAAGTGGCTGATGTAAGTGATTCAGTTTGTAATTGATGTAGGAATGTAAAACTGGTGCTTCTTTTGGGAAAATGGTCCAGGTATCTATGCTGTTATTACTTTGGAAAGATTTTATTTCATAAATCCTGAAAACCTAAGAAGGTTATTTCATTCACGTTTGACAACAGAAAGTTGCTCCTATTGTGTTCAGTTGATTTCTTTATGACTCAACATCTTTCTCCCACTTCCTTTAGTGAAAAAAATGTCTAAATCCAAGAGATGAAAGGATAGGAAAGTAGTCTTCATGTTTGGTCTGAATTATCTTCTCTTTATGCACACTACCTTCATTCTTTTGTTTTCACTCCTTAGATTATTTGTTAATCCACGCTAGTCAGTTTAACCAGACCACAAATGTGACACCTTAAAATAATGCACATGCCACGTTGATAAGTGGTCCTCTTTGTATTGGGCCTTGTCTAGGGTGTGTGTGTGTGCATGTGCATGCATGTGTGTGTGTATGTGCAATATTTTGCACTTGTCCTAAGGTGAGGGAAAACAGAACCAGTGTTTTTAAGATGAATTTTCTCATCTAGAATAGCAATTATAAATATCTTACTATTTTCTATTTGTAGGACCAGCTCTTTAAAGGGCTTCTGAGGCTTCTTACACATGCAGCTTATTTTCTGTTCTCCAGCTTGGGTCTCTTTATTGCTATTGACTGATTCCGGTGGCTGTCTCCCTGCAGGTCATCCAGGCTGTCTTCTTTGGTATCTGCGTGCTAACTGACCTTTCCAGTCTTCTGACCAGAGGAAGCGGGAACCAGGAGCAGGAGAGGCAGCTCAAGAAGCTCACCTCCCTCCGGGACTGGATGTTAGCCGTGCTGGCCTTCCCTGTTGGGGTTGTGAGTATGATGTAGAATGCATTTAGCCACTGAAGGAACTTGTGTCTAATTTCAGACTTGAGAGAGAACAAGAGCTCATTATAGATCTCTTTCTTTCTTTTGGTAGTGCTGGGAATTGAACCTAGGGCCTCAATCATACTCAGCAAGCACATCCTCTACCACTGAGCAATACTCCCAGGCCTGAGATTTCTCTGTTTGTTTGTTACAGACCTGGTGGCTTAACCTACAGAAATTTGTTTTCTCAGAATGCAGGGTTGGTTTCTTCTGAGGCCTCTCTCTCTGTCTTTGCCTTCTGGATGGCTGCTTTCTCTCTGTGTCTTACATTCTCTTCTATGTGCCAGTCTTGCCCTCATTTCCTCTTTTTTCGTGCGGGGTGGTATTTGGGTTTGAACTCAGAGCCTCGAACATGCTAAGCAGGCACTCTACAACTTGAACCATGCTCCCAGCCCTATTTTGCTCTTAGTAAGTTTTTGGACAGGGTGTCACTATTGCCTGGGGCCTGCTTTTGATCTTTATCCTTCTATGACCTCTCTCGGCGCTGGGATTACAGAATAAACCATCATGCTTGGCCTTTTATTTCAGTTTTTTATATGAAGAGCAAGGCTCTCTGAATGGCCTCATATAAACTTAGTTACCTCTTTAAAGATGCTTTCTCCAAATTGTCACATTCTGAGATTCTAGGGAGCTAGTACTTCAACATATGGATTTTGCAGGGACATGGTTGAGCCAGTAACCATTTCTGAAGCAGCTCGAGCTTGAAATGCATGGCCCTCCCGTCAACTGTTTTAGTAGTTTTGAACTTGGGAGGAAGGCAGCTTTAGCTCACACTTCTTCACTCACCCAAATGTGCCATTAATCGTTATCACTTAAGTAAATCCTACTTACTGTTTAGGAAACCTCTGGCTCCATTGGTTTTCTTGGTTTTCGGTTAGATTCCCTCCACAAGTCAAATCTGTTAATTTTCTGTCATCTACACATAAACCATGTTGTTTTTTCTTTTTAAAGGCCCCATAAAACTATAGATTTTAACCTGTGGGTAGAAGGAGCGAATTCTTGCATATCTCAAATTGTGAGAGCAAGTAAAAGTGTGTTACTTAATTCAATTTCAGAACTTTCACTTGCCAGCTGACTTCTGGGAAAAAACAGAAGCCCCAGTGACGTGGATACCACAGGCAGCAAGTCCAAAGTTCATTGTCAGAAAAGTCAGAAAGTTGTTCTTTAAATTCTTTCTCTGGCTCCTCTTTATATTTGCCAAGACTGTAGCTGGCAATGCCCTCCACATGCCTGGCACTGAGTTGCTTTCTCTCTATGTGCTGAGTTGTGTTTTGGGGGGTGAAGCAGCCCTTAGCTCTTAAGAATAACACACAGGGGAGCATTGTAACCTGGTCACAGTCCTCATTCTTTCATCCTTGTCTTCTGTAGATCTGAATGTGTGGGTGCTCAGATTAAAGCCACCTAATGAATTGTTCACCGTCTGTTGTTTAAATGCTTACACATTACGTAATGTTTCCTTCTTTGGTCTTCCTTATAAAAGTCAAACACTTTCTATCAGAGTAGTCATTTAAGAGAAAATTTCCACTGGCATAAAATATAAAGACATACTTTCTGCTTAAAAGAGTTATATCTAGAGAGCCAAGTCTCTATGTGTGAATGTATCTATATTCTTCCTTTTTTTTACCCTTTACTCCCTTGAATTTCCATAGGAGTGTCATGACCTCTGGAAGTCTTTGTTGGCAAGAAAGGTTACAGTAGTGATATAATGAAAATGTAAGCTGGATGTGCTGGCCTGTGCCTGTGGTCCCAGCTACTGAGGAGGCTAAGGTAGAAGGATCATTTGAGCACAGCCTAGGACTGTGTGACATAGGAATATCCTGTCTCAGAAACCAAAAAACGTAAATGGGAATATAGCACTAACGTTTGCTCCTAGCCCTGCCTCTCCTCCTGTTATGTGGTGTCTTTACAGGACATTCTGACTTATATTAAATCTTGCTCCCCTCAAAGGCTCATCAAAGTTGCCCTTTAGACATCTGTGACATTTCTTTAGGGGAGAAACTGTCTTTCTGTGCTTGCGATGTGAGCTATTTTCAACTCTGAGTGCCCTTCCAAAATTTAGTATATATATATATACGTATATACATCCTTCATGCTTTGTAAGACCAGTGGTGGCCTACGGTTGACATGTTTGTTTTATTACACCTAATGTGCTCCTCTGTATTTCACTTTTTTTGTTGTTTCGCCCATCTTTTGGAGGAAGGGAAAGGAGTAAAGTTACTTTTCATCCCTGCCTCCCCATTTTTAACGAGAAGTCACCGCCCTTCATTTTCATGGTATGTGTACACCTTTGCTGTTGGTAAGCTCCTGACTGCTGGCCTGGCCTCGGCTGGTCATGCATGCTAGTCCTTCTGTGATATCTGGTACATGGGAGGTGATGGTGTTCCGTAGATTCACAGAAGAAATTAAAGACTCAGTGTCAAATCAGAAATGTGGAACTTCATTGTTGTTTGTGGTGCTGGGCATCCTGCCCAGGCTCTGAAAATGCCAGACAGCACTCTATTGCTGAGTTACAACCCACACCCTCACACCCTCATCATGTTTTCTAACTCACTTTTTTATGGGCCCCAATATTACTATTATTTCCGTTTTGCTAATCTTCCCTGTTATTGTAAGCCACTTTTCCCTTTTGAGTCACTAGCAGATTATTTTTCCTGAAAATCTTTAGGTTCCTCTGTTATTTTTCTTTCTCTTTTCTTTTCCCTCCATATTAAGAAAAAGAAAAATCTTAGTATTATCTAGAAATCTTACATTTTCCAACAGTTTTTTCTTTTTCTACTTTACTCTGTCATTTGATTTTGGGTGAATAGTCACCCAGTTTCCACCAGATTTCTCACTGCAATGCACAATTTCGAGGCAAAAAAAAAAAAAAAGAAACCCCACTGATAAAAGGCTTCTTTCCAGACCCTGTTAATTTTATTGCAAAGTCATGTTTATAGATGCTATGAATTTGACTCTTTGTAAAACTTTCTAAAACTTTTAATTTTGTGATTTTTCATCTTTCCTTTTCTAAGAGTACTTCCTAATTTTCCAGTGTTCCTGTATCACTGCTATAAATGCAGAGACTTTCCCTCATCCTTTCTTTGAAACCACAAGGTTCCCCAGAGGTCTTCCCTGCTCTGTCACCCTGATTTTGGGGCAACCGCCAACCTCACAGCGTGTTGCTTGATGCCATGCTTTCTACTGGCTTCCTCCACTTCACACTTTTTATTTGTCAGTTTGTTACTGAGAAAGCAATGTTATATAGTGCGTTGTGATGCAGGCAAAAAGGGCAAGGGGCATAGCATAAAAATAGGAGGCTCAGTTTAGTCTGCTCAGATTTTCCAAAGAGACTTTTGACCCAAGCCTTGATCTCTCTCTCCAGCCCCCCACCCCATCCCTCCTTCCCTCCTCTTCTCCCTCCCTCCCCTTTCCACTCCCTTTCTCTCCTCTCCTTCTCTCTCTCTCTCTCTCTTTCTCCCCACCTCCCCCCCTTTCATCTCTCTGTGTCTGTCTTTTCCATCTTAACACCAAGGCAGAAAGACACGAGTGGGCTATTTAGAATGAGTAGTTTCTACACTAATGCTTCCTGCAGGAACGAGGTTAATTGAGAGTTGACAGTAAGTGCTTCACGTGAGCACGATGCACAGCATTGGATTTGGTGACCCATGGACCTAACGCATCCACTTCATGGTCTCTCTTATCTCAAGGATATATAAAAATAACAAAACATTCCAATCAATGATAATTGAAGTAAACTTTTGTTTCAGCGTGACCTTGAAGAAATCAGGCAGGGTTGCTTGAGTGAACATAGCATGTATCCTGATTTGTGTCAATTCCCATAAACGCTAAGCTAGCCTCGGTTAGTACCGCTAATGGCCGGAAACCACCAGCACTACCAAAGTCTTGCAACTCATTTGGCAGGGATAACCCACGGGAGGCTCTTCTTACCATGGGCAGTTTATTTCTGAACCCGGTCACCCTTTTAACGAAGTATTACAAATAATTCTATGACATTATGTGGTCTGGAAGCACTGAAGTTTATTACGAGCCATCAAACCAAGAATGTCTTTAGTCTCCTGTGAGTCTGTTGCCTTTTGTGCTGGCAGATACCATTATAGTTAAAAGAGTAGGCTTATGCTTTTAACCAAAAAGGGAAAAAAAGTGAGGATGATGAGTTCGAAAGTGCCTCTCTCAGGGACTCCAAATGTGTCTCCAGCTGCTACCCACAGCAGCCCCTTTCGTGAAAACAAAAACAAACAGACAAAACCCAGTTCTACATTTTGCATTAGGCGCATTAGGTCAAGTCTGTGCCTCCTTTGCCACTGCTTAGCTTGACTAGTAGACGTATTCAAGTCTCACGACTTCACTAGGACATCTTTGTCCTGGCCTTGCCCTGGGTTGCTCCAGTGCAGGTGCCGGGCAATCCCATCGCAACACGAAGAAGCTGGTGTCCTTCTCTGGGGGGTCTCAGGAAGCACTGGGAGTTTGGATCTGTTCTAACATCCAGAGTATCAGAGCAAGCCAGCATTGTCTCATGAACTTTTCTGGAATTTGTGCTTCTTCTCTGTGTTTAGTCTCAAAGATATATGTTAAGTAATCATTTGCAATGTCATGATCATGTTTTGTAAAGACTTGGTGAAGGTTCTAGGTACCAGCCTATTCTAGAATCTCTAAAGCTTACTTTTTACTTGTGTTGGGGACTGATGGTAACTGCCTCCTGAGAAAACATATGGAAAATGGAATTTAAAGTCACAAATGCAAACTACAAGAAAAATATGGTGCAATTATTTTCATTCATCAGCACATTAATCTATCTTCTAAGGTATCTTGAAGAAAAATTTTGATTTGTGTACAAATTTAGATTGTCATATCCCTACAATTTAAAAAGCACTAATTTCATTAATGATTTTAAATGTAAATCAATGGCTTAAATAACAAAATAAGCACATTATATTAATTGCTAGTCT